TGTAAGCTCCACAAGGACAGGCGCTGTATCTGCCACTGTACCTGCTATTTCTGCCCCTGTGCCTACCTAGCTCGGTGCCTGGTCACATGTGGCTCCATAAGTAGTGATTGGATGAGGACGTGCATAAGTAATGTGAACTGAGACCAGACCCTGCCCACAAAATTCCCTTTCCCTAATTGTTGTCAGAGGTCAGCAGGATGGGGGGACATTTGTCACCTCCTGTGGCTCAGGACACTGGTGTGTCTCAGTTCCTCACCCCCACAGATCCCTGCACAGGTGGGAGTCACTGGTGGGGGCAGGGGTAGAAAGCCCTGTTTGCATACAGGTGGATCCTGTTTGTGCTAATTCTCCTCTTTCTCCTGCCCTGGAGAACTGAGGACCGTTCCCCATAAATCTTCTCACATGCACCCGCCTCCCCAGACCAGGGATTTCCCGCCCCAGGCAGCACTGGTTTTATAATATTCTCCTTCCTGGTGGCTCAGATGTGGCAGTAAAATAGGAGACCACCCACAGAGGTGGGATCGTCATGGAATCCGAAGCTTCCCCCACCTTCTTCCCAAGGCCAAGCACTTGATTGATTGGCTGAGGCATTCAGGGAGCTCGTTATGAGAATGAACATATTAGGGCAAGAGGAGGAGGCAGCTAATGGGAGACAAAGCCCTTGGGCGTAGCAGGTCCATCCATTTTGCTTGAGGTCAAACAGCCAGTCAATTACAGAGGCAGCAATCCCCGCCCCCAAAGGCATCTAGAATTCCAGACCATCCCTACCCTTCCCTCTGCCAGACAGAGCTGTTCAGAGGCAGCTCAAGCCTGGATGAGCCCCGCCCCCGGCAAGGAGGCAGCAGTCTGTGTGGCCCGTCAGGAGACAGACTTCTGACTCTGGGCCAGGCAGGGGGATGGACCGCCTGACCCTCAGCTCTAGCCCGACTCCATCTGCCGGGCCCTGCAGAGATGGGCAAAACACGTGGGCAAAACATTCCAGAGATGGGCAAAATACGTGTCTCTCCTGGGAAGGTGAGGTCTCATCGAGGCCAGACCTGCCTGGGTGGTATTGGGGTAGTGTGAAGTGCCCTGAGTTCTGGGTGAGAATCGAGTCGAAGGTTGCCAGTTGTGCAGGTTGAACACTGTACAATGTGACCCTCACATAGTCATCTGTGTAGATTTGTGAATTTATTACAGTGGTGCGCCAGTAGATGGCAGTAAAGTATCTTGAGGACAGGCTGCCCAGCGGACTATCCCTGGGAGATGTTATTCCTTTACCTGGTCAAGGAGCATTTGTTAAACATGTGTCTTGTGTCCTAGCTCAGCGTGCTGGTTGCTGGAGATACAGTGAGTATTGAGCCTCAGTTTCTTCTTGCCAGGAGCTTGCAAACCAGATATCTGGGGACAGGGGACAGACAGCATGGAGCGAAAAGTGTTATGATGGTAGTAGGGGCAGCCTGCTGTAGGAACAGAGCAGGGACACCTAGCCCAGCCAGAGGGCAGGTGCTGTCCAGGAACACTTCACGGAGTAGGTGTCACCCGTGAGGATCTCGGAACATGAGAAGAGGCGGGCGGATAAGAAGAGCACGAAGCTGCAGGAGCAGTGAGGACAGCACTCTCGAAGGCTCAGAGGCATGAAAGCACAGGGCACACCTAGGGACTAGCAGGAGGCTGGGGGTGTCCATGCAGCAGACAGCAAACTGGAGGTACCTGTCTCCTCCTGGATCATGAAGGACCCCGGGGGACTGGGCTGAATCCCCAAAATCTTAAAGCCCGGTTAGAGGTCGTGACTCTGGACAGAGACTTCTCCATCTGGACCACGTGGGGAGGGACACAGAGGGACTGGGAGCCCTCACAGAGCAAGGCCACCTCTCTGATGTTGCCATCATCATCCATCACTCATGGCACCTGTGGGACAGATCCAAGTCAGGTGAATCGTAATTCTGCTTTATCATGCCCAAGGGGGTAAGATTATCTTTTATTAGTAGGTTCCCACTACACGGCGTCCGGTAGGCACACGGCAAACATTCAGTAGTTTTTTGCTTTTGGAGATTCTGGTTCAGGCCCTGGGGCCACATACTTTGGAGCTTTCTATGTGCCAGGAACTATTCTAAGTGCTTTATGTGTCTTGCTTCATTTAATCCTCACGACAATCCTATGAGGTAGCTACTACTATTGTTCTCATTTCTCAGGCGTGGAAACTGAGGCACATGGAAGTTGAGAGGCTTACCCCAAGTTGCACAGCAAGTGCACGGAAGAGCTGGGATTGTATCCAGGCGTCTGCCTGAGTGCCCTGCACTCTGCTGCCTTGTTGAATAGGAGGAAGCGATCTTCCCTAGTAGATACTGTCACCACTGACAAATAGGGAGACTGAGACCCAGGGGTTTAAGTGCCTTATCTTGGAACACATGATGAGTGATTAGTAGAGCTAAGATTTTGTCCACGCCTGTATGATTCCAAATCCATGTTTTTCTGGCATGCCAGTGACTATAATCCTAGGTTTCCACCCTGAGCTCATGGGCCCACTCAGGACTTCTTTTAAACCCTTGCAAGAGGGATACCTACCCTGATCCTGCTCTGGCCTTTGCTAGTGACACCCCTCTTGATAGGTAGAGGAGTGAGCAGAGCCGAGAAGATATACTCACCCACCCGGACCTTGCAAACTGCACCCTTGGGCCATGCTCTGGGTACCCTAGAATTCCCTGCCCAGAGGGACCTCAGCCCAATTCCAGGGCCAATGCAGGCTAATCCTTTGATCCATTCTCCCAAGAAGTGGCCAAGGGACAACTGTTATGGGAGGGGAGGGGAGAAGATGAAGTTTGGTCACATGGTCTGGCCACCAAGGAACCTGCTTGTGCAGCCTCGGAGGTGCAGGACAGAGAGGAGGGTGGGCGGGAGATGAGGGCAAATCACACATGGAAAGGGCCACGAACCAAGAGCTTCCAGTCCCTCTGCCGCCATGTTCTGGGGGTTAAGCCCAAAATCCTGATTTGTCTGAATTCTGAGTCTTCGAGGTCATTATGAAGTTGTATTTGTCAAGGAAGGCAGACGTGTTTTATTTAAATATTTGCTAGCTTTATCTATCAATTTTAAATTTGAGACATGACACCTAGGCCTCCATTTGTTGTTTTGCCTCAGGCCCCACAAATACTAGTGGCCAGCCTGCCTGGAATTCGCTGACAGTTCCTTTAAGGATTTGTGATGAAATTCATAAGCTGTGAAAAGGTTCTCTCTGCATGAGGCTGGCCCCATGGCATTTTATTGAAGACCATTGCTGGGAGGAAAAACCAAAACCTTGCTTTTAGGTCACACCACTATTTCCTGTTCCAACACAGTCCCGCCTAGTTGACATCTAAGCCCGCCAGCATTTTAAGAAAAGGTGGCGTTAGTATCAGAGCCGTCAGCCAGGGATTCGGGCAGTCTTGGGGAGGGAGGAACTCCACCGGTGGAGGTAGACTTTGGAAGCAGACAGACTGAGGCAGTCAGAGAGTTTGTAGAAAGGATTCTTTCACAAATGGAAGGTTGAAAAAACAGATGGCAATATCCATCTTCCAGGGGAAAGAATAAGAAGAAACTAAGAAGAAGGTTCTTGAATGTCGTGCTTAGAAATTATGGATTAGAACTCAATCATGTGGCCACACCTAGCTTGTGGGACAGTTGGGATATACATTTTTATGTGTCTATAATAAGCTCTCTTACTGTGGAGAAAAGATTGACGGTGGGTATTGGGAAGCAAAGAGCTAGGTTTACGGAAATGCTGACACAGTGCCCGGTTTACAGCAAGTGACTAATGACTCTTAGTGTCATCATCGAAGACAGCAACGATCAAAGAGAGCAAAACGAACTTTTACCTTTTTTGCTTTGTGTGTGGGAGGGTGTCTAAGCCCACAAGCACCTCAGTGTAGCTACTGTTTTTCAGAGTTGAACAAAAGCACAGACGTGGAAGTCCTGCCTATTGAGTCTCTCTGGGGGTCAGTTTCCTCATCTATAGAATGGGAAAACCAGTTGTGGCATCGTGGTGGTGGTTGTGAGTGTTAATGAGAAAGGCTATAGGTTAAACCCTCTAGCACAGTCTCTGGCACAAAGTAAGTATTCAACAAGTATCTATTCATCAATCTGTTCCCTCATTTATTCATTCAACAAATACAAACTGAGTTCCTACTATGTGTAAAGCACTCCGGTAAGTTCTAGGAAGAGAAGAACGAATAAGGTAGGTTGTTCCTAACCTCAAGGAACTGTGTTTTGGTTTAGTGGTACACAGGCATCAATCAGCTATTAATTATCACTAATTATATTGATAAATTATGGGTCAGGATTAGGGTGCTTATGAAGAAAAATGGACAAGTAAATGGATTTGAGAAATAATTAAAATGTAGACTCACTGGGGATCGGGAGGGGGAGAGAGGTAGCAAGGAGGATGTCTATACTTCTGCCTTGAGCAATTGGTAGATAAGGATGCCGTTTACTGATAACAGGGAAGACAGAGGCAGGAATGTAGAGGATAGTCTTAGAAGGATGGACAGATGGTTGATTGGATGGATGGATGACAGACAAAGGGATAAATGAAGACAGCTTTATTAGACAAATGGATGAAAAGAAATGGGTGGATGGATAGATCAATAATAAGTCCTTGATAGAGTATATAGGGCATAACTCAATACAATAATACAGCATTATTTATTTATGTAGGATTCCTTATTTCATTTAGCTCTCAAAATGGCCATTAGAAATATGTAGCACAATTATTAATATCATTCTTTCACAGAGGATAAAACTGAGACATGGGGAGGTCAAGTAACTTGACGGAACCAGAACTTGAGTCTCCAATCTTCCCATCTGCACTCCTTCCTCTCTGCCTGGAAATAATGGGAGAGTTAGGGATCAAGGCTGGAGGAAAGAGGGAGAAGGTCCAGAATGCATCTCGGTACACACCTCTGGGGTGGGGCCTTTGGGAGAAGGGGGAACAGAGTGACGCTGTCTGCATCCTTACTCAGCAGATTTCTTCCTCTCCGTCCCAGGTCGAAGTATTTCCACGGAAAGAAGGTGAACGGAGAGATTGAGATTCGAGTGGAACAGGTAGGTGGGGCTGCATCTTTAGCACTGTCACCCTCACCTTTTCTACAGCTGGGGCCGTTGTCATGCACAACCTTGGTTCCCGTTTTATGTAGCCGTCATGAGCTAAGATTACCAGAAAAATCCCGGTTTATATACCTGGGAGTCTCATTAAATTCCAGAATTATTTGGTTCAGTGGTTTTCAATAATTTTTGTTTTAGCAGAGAACCTTGCTTCAAAGGAGATACCAAGTAGGGCTCATCCTGCAAAATAGAGGCAAGTAAAGTTGCTCTGATGGAGATGAAAGGAGAAGCCTAAGAGTCTGTCTGCTCCAGTCTGTTCCCCGTAGCCCCTGAGGCATTGCCTTGCAACGCTGGGGCTGGGGAGCATAGTTTGGGAGCATCATGGGTTCGAATCCTGGCTCTCTCATTCCAGGTGTTGGGCAGAGAACTTAACTTCTCTATGCCTCATTTTCCTTGTGCCATTATGGTTGGGATTAAATTATTTAAAATCTCAAATGAGATCAGAATCATCAAGACTAACTCCTATTATTACCATTAATATCAACATCCAGGTCCCTCATTTTCTGTGGAAAGAAACACGGACAAGGCCACCGAGAGAGGCAGTGGCAGGATTAGGGCTAGAAGGTGTGGTCTCCTGGCTCCAGATGGAAGGTTCCTCCCACTCATTCAGTGAGGTCCTCCTCTCTGCCAAGCACTGTGCTCAGCCTTGGGAGAGCACCTTTGAGCACGGGATCTAGAGCTGGACTCTAGGTCCCAACTCTACCTCTTACTAACCTCGTGGCCTTGGCTGAGCAATACTTAAGCTCTCTCCAGCTCAGTTTCTTTGATTGCGCAATTCAGACAATAATAGCATCAGCCTATGCGCATAGGGGTGCTGTGAGGATCCAATGAGTTAGTCCATGAAAAGTGCTAGTAACAATGCCTGGCACTTAGTTAATGTTACTCATTATCATCATCATCTTCGTCATCATCGTCATCATCGTCAAAAGTAAATACTAAATAAGATAGACAAGGTCCCTGCTGTAAAATGAATTCAAAACACAATTTTTAAAAAGTAGGAGGTTCCATACAAAGCGTAAAATTATTTTTTCTATATCTGTGAAGAATGCTGATGGGATTTTAATAGGTATTGCATTGAATCTGTAGATCAGTTT